GCAAATAGTGACAGTTTGATTTGAAGGTACAAGAACAAAACAATGATAATAATGATACTAAATATGTAATCATTGTATCCCTTGTTTTATCACAGTTCTTTTCACATTGTGTTGTTTATCCATTTTTACAGAGCTATGTTTATGTGTTTTCATCTAAAAAGATCATGTGACACTCAAAAGTCACAAAGTGAACAGTTGAATACAGTTTTACCAATGCGGCACCACCATCTATGGGCTCTCTCTGCTGGGGGCACACTCTATATTCTTCAGGGCGATTAATAAGACTTGGCATTTTTTTCTTCTTTGCAATCACTGTGAGGTACGTCACCGGCCGTGACGTCAATGTTATATCATTCCACATGGCTTTGGAGCGAGGAACGTGACAGCTGAGCGCAGCCTCTGCAAGAGTGTGTGTGTGTGTGTGTGTGTGTGTGTGTTCACCTCTGCCCCATCACAGGAGTCTCCTCACAAAAGACTGAACTGCCCCAGGCCACTACGCTCTAATGGAAGACCCTCTTTCACCAGGCTTTTTACAAACAAGTCCTTTTAGATTGGACAACAAAATACTAAAATACTATTTCAATGTTACTTTTTATTCTGTTTTTTTAGACATTTAATCTATCTTGTTTTTTACAAATAATGTATTAAGTACAATGGCAAAATATATACTATATATATTATATACGCTAAAAATATATACAAAAATATATAGATCCCAAACCTTTTCAGTGTTATTAAAAAAAGACTACATCTGGGGTGGTAGTGTAAACAAGGCATAAATATAAATATATAGTTTCACATAAAATATACATTATATAAATATAACATCATTTAGCAATAAACTCAGCTAATAATCCAATTCATTGAAACTGTTGTGCTGGTTCTATTTAATCCAAAGGTCCAAAGTCAATCCTGTGTCAGTAAAAGAGGTTTGGAGCAGAGTTCATGAACAATTATATTTCTCTTTGAGAAATGAAAGACATTTTATTTGCAAGGTCAAAATGAAATACATTCTTTTGTGATGATCATTATGAGATGCGAGGGTTTTCTTTTCCTCTGGATTCTCTACGTGAGCCTTGTGTGCAATCCTCCAATCACTTCTGCCTTATTACACATCACATGACTGCACTGACAATATTTATCTATATGTTCCTATGCATCCCTTATCTTTCCAGTTTCATAGTCTAACAACATCCACTTAGCCATTTTGGAGGAAGTGGTTCTGCTAAACATACCTTTTCTTCAACCACTACATGTAGATAGTGAAAGGGTACGGCTGCAGGTGTTTAATACTCCTGCCGTCTCAGGCGTCTAGATTTTGTTGCAAAAATTAGAATCGAGCTGATTGCATAGACAACACTCACTGCTAAAATGTTCAGACACATTAAACACATTATAATAACAGTCATACAACTTTGGATGCTCACATGGGTTACATATATACTGTAACCCATGTGAGAAAAAGCTGTCTAAATCGTAACTGAAAATAAAATATGAAAGATATTGAATCTTACGTTATCCTTCAATGAACATATTGCAAAATTCTTATGTAATATTTCAAAGTGGGAGATGGGTTTATGAACCGAACAAGCCGACACGATATCTGCAAACAGCAAGTAGAGCAGTCCTATTTGTGCAAAGGGCTGGTGTTAATGAAGACCATATGTGACGTCAGTGTTGGAGCCTGAGCTTTTCTTTTAAGCCTCGACACAGAAGGACAAGTCCACATTTGTTCATTTTTAAAACTATTAACCTGAAAAGAGAAGACATTGCACTATATCACAAGTGTATTCACTGTATCACATTCAGTAAGTGGTTTAAACTGAATGTTATGTACAGTATTTGCTAGACCATGTCCTTTTTTTCCTGCGGCCTATACAGTGGTCATGATGAGACTTAGAAGGGATGGGACGTACGTTATTTGTGAGTGCTTTGATTATCACAAGTCAACGTACATCATTCGTCCAGTTAATACAGTCGTCCATCAGCTTTGTAGTTGGTCGAGCATTACATTACAACACGAAAACCTGTGGCTTATATTGGAGTGTGGCATATACGTGGACAAAAAATACTTTATTTTGCAATGTAACTGGTGTGAATGTATACAGTTGCGCCTAATATTCCAGCCAGTACTGTAAATACAATCGGGCAAAGTTTTAGTTATTAGTATTTAGTTAGCCACCAATTGTACAAGTTCTCCCATTTAAAAAGATGCAATTGTCATCATAGGTACACCTCAGCTATAAGAGACCGAATGAGAAAAGAAATCCAGAAAATGCCATTGTCTGATTTTTTAAGAATTTATTTGCAAATAAAGGTGGAAAATAAGTATTTGGTCAATAACAAATGTTCATCTCAATACTTTGTTATATACCCTTTGTTGGCAATGACAGAGCTCAAATGTTTTCTGTAAGTCTTCACAAGGTTTTCACACTGTTGCTAGTATTTTGGCCCATTCCTCCATGCAGATCTCCTCGAGAGCAGTGGTGTTTTGGGGCTGTCGCCGAGCAACACGGACTTTCAACTCCCTCCAAAGATTTTCTATTGGGTTGAGATCTGGAGACTGGCTAGGCCACTCCAGGACCTTGACATGCTTCTTACGGAGCCACTCCTTCGTTGCCCGGGCGGTGTGTTTGGGATCATTGTCATGCTGGAAGATACAGCCACGTTTCATCTTCAAAGCCCTTGCTGATGGAAGGAGGTTTTCATTCAAAATCTCACAATACATGGCCCCATTCATTATTTCTTTTACGTGGCTCAGTCGTCCTGGTCCTTTTGCCGAAAAACAGCCCTACAGCATGATGTTTCCACCCCCATGCTACACAGTAGGTATAGTGTTCTTTGGATGCAACTCAGCACCAGTCACCAAATACTTATTTTCCACCATAATTTGCAAATGAATTCTTTAAATAATCTGACAATGAGATTTCCTGGATTTTGAGGTATACCTATGATGAAAATTACAGGCCTCTGATTGGCTGACTAAATTAATTTCCCCCCCCACTGTATTTTAGGTCTGGCCTCTTCTGCTTTTTCTACCAAATTATTGTGGTATTCAATTTCAATTTGGTCTTACTGAATTAGGCACAGCCCAAATATCAAGTGCTGCAGTCATTTCTATTTTATTTTTTTTATTTAAATTGTAATGTTACTGAAATGGTTGATATACTGTATATGACGGCATCACTAAGTATAAACAGAACATGCAAGTGACAATAGCGTGAGTCATCAGTGCAGGATCTGTTCAGGTGAATCTCCAGGTTTCAGAAATCCAGTATTATGTTTAAAATGCTCATCAAGTGCTTTCTTCAATGCTCACCCAGAAGCAAGCAGCCAAAACAACTTATATTCATACAAAATGTTTTTTTTTTATTTCAGTTCCATTCATTTGATAGAACTTTCCTTTCTTTCTTTTTGATTCTGTGCCGGTGTTAAGATAATTACAACATATATGCTCTGCTGAGCTAAACTAGAATAGCCAGTTATCATTCAATACATGAAGGCTAAAACAATACTTCTTTTAGAAATAAATAGACTAATAGGTGTGGGAGAGAACTGGTGTGAAGACAAGGTTACTTGAGTACTTCAGAGTTCTTGATGCTCTTCATTTTTTTAATACAGCCTATTTTTTGGCAATATTGCTTGCTTTATAATGGTTTCCTGCTTTTTATGTAAGGTAAGGTAAGGACATAATCATAAAACATTAACATTTTGTTGCACTAGGCTCGTCACACAATTTGCTGAATGTTAAGTTTTAAATGTGCTTTTGTTGCAACTTTTTACATTTCATTTGTTTGGTATTTTTGTATTAGGAAAACGAATGGGATCATTCCCTAACCAGTGGAAGTGGGTTGTTCTGTTTCGCAGTGTCTAAAACTGAACAGAAAATAAGACAATGAGCTTAACTTTCTTTATTTAATGTTATGTATCTGAATGTAAATGTAAACATGAACAGTTTATTAACCTTTCCATTCACTCCATGCACACTCAGTAATCATAGCTGTCCTGGGGCAGCCTATCTCACTTTTAAGAGCCAGATAGACATTCACATAAGAGTGTGTGTCTTGCAATAATAACAACAGTCTGATGATGTTGAATACAACGACTGGAAACAACATCACCAGTTGTGAGAAATATATAAAAAACAAAATATTATAACTGTTTTATTACTATAATCAATCATTCTATGGCTGTAATCAATCAAAAAATACAAGCCCTGACTACAAAGGGAGCGAGGGCTCTCCAAACTATTACGTATTTCATCTGAGCCAAACTGGCCTCACAATGCTCCATGCAACACAACTGATTATGCATAAAAGCATCACAACAAATTATCTATGAATACAAGAGGGGATTTATCTGTCCTAATCCTCAAAACTGTACTCAATTTCCTGAAATCACATATAAATCCTTCTCAAGTAAATAAAGTAATTAGTTGAGTGACAAACCTTATATTTTTGCAATGATTTTACAATAATTAGAAAACTGCTGAAACACGAGTCTAAATGAACCAGAAGTGCAGAATTATCTTGTCAACATTGTATTATAGGCATTGTATTGTTACTGTATTATTATATAGTACCACGCTCTTATACAATGAGTTCTGAAAGCCTTGGGTTCTGAACACTGAGCAACTGCGTGTAAACAAACTGGGTTTGGAACATGTGCAATGGCAATAACAAGAAACTCTCTTTTCAAGTTCAATTCTGGGATGGATGGATTGCATTTTTTTTCTTTCTTTTTTTGCAGTTTAAATATATGAAACAAATTGAATCTTGCGTATACTAATTTTTTAAATTGTGATATTATTTATGGTAAGTAGAATCCAATGGCAATTTTGCACAGATGTAGAGGCATAGACGTGTTGGCTATATTAAAAAACGATAGTCTAAAGTGACTCAATCAATTAGGCCTATAATGAGCATGGCCCGGAGGAGAACTTTGGATGATCTATCCTCATGTAGGGCATTGCTGTGGTGTGAGCTGCGCATGAGACCTACCTGCTCCCGTGAAATACAGGGCAGTGATGGTCTTCGGGGCATTTTACAGCTGCCATAGTAGCTGCTGGAGGTTTCTCCCAGTGACACGCAGCTGGATCGTCTCCTGGGCCGGATCACAGGCACCTTCTCTTCCGCGCTGGCCGCCTCTACGCGCGGGGAGAAATGTTCAAAGCACAGCCCCAACACAGAGCCACAGAAGCCCGAGAGGCAAGCCAACAGCGGCCTGAGGAGCAATGGCAGTCCGCTCAAACTTGTGAAAGAAACGAGCCAAACAAGACTGGCGAAGAGTAATATAAGCACACTGTGTTTAAGTTTGAGAGAGGGCACCAGCGTGAGCAGCCCCACGCATCCCAACACGAACAACAACCTGCCCACCATTTGGATCTGCTGCTGATCTTCTCCCCATTGCAGAAAGCGCAAAACCAAAAAGTCCCCGAGGTAACATGATGCAGGCAGTGACAGGAGCCAACATTTACTACTTTCCTTCTTTGTCCGCCTCAGATAAAGTGTTAAAAAGAAGAAGGCGCATCCCACACTAAACAGGGGGCTGAGGGACTGAGAGACGCCCGAGACAAAAGTCCTCAAATCCCAGAACGAGTCACTTTGCGCGCTCCTGGATGTGACAAAAGACAGCGCAAAGAAGACGAACGCACCCACGTAAACAGCGGAGACCCGGAGCACTTTTGTATTCAGTATGTCTTCATTGCAAAAGCTGCAGAGGTTGAGCAGAAATCCCCTCTGTTGGTCCTGTTTCAAGGGGGTGACGCAGCTCTTCACATAGCCGTTCCTGAAAGCCTCGGAGCTGTTTACACTCGGAGCTCGGTCCTGGTGCCGTAGTTTGGCGTGCGGGAGTTCTCCGTCCTCCCGTGCAGCCATGACTGGACCGGGCTCCTCTTGTACGCCTCTGCCGCTCTTCACGCCGTGTTAGCGCCCAACTACATGACAGCGAGCGCACTCCATGGTCACTCAAACGTGCTCCAACACTTGGACTAAAGAAAGAAGGTGAGATGTTGTTTTTGCACAACTGGGACTCCCTGTCGCCCCCCACGGGCCACAATTCAGCTCTGCACTCGGATTGTTCTCTGTCATTGTACGGTGTAGTATGGCAATGATCGATACATGAAACCAAATTGTGCAGCTGGAAAATACAGATTTGCCTGAAGTAAAACAGACAATGTTTCTTCATGTAGTCCACCTAAAAAGGAGTCAGTGGTGCAAGTTAATTTCTATCTAAACTAAATAAAGAAACATTCTGTAAAAACACCTTCAAGGCCTATTTTAGTATGTCAAATCAATAAAGGTACAATATTATGTGATACTAAGTAAGCAATACTATTTTGCTTTCACATACAGGGCATTTTTTACTCTTTATGAATAAACATGTCATTTATGAGACTTTAGTTAGGCTTGAAATTTCCCAGCTTTGAGACTAATACATTTTCTCATATATTAACTAATGTATGTGATATGCGTAATTTATCAACGAAGAAAACTTTCAAACATCATCCATGAGGTTTTGAAATTTCTCCTCTGTGGGACGAATGATCTCAAATCTTGATGTCAAGTTGTCATATGTAGTACTTCATGCACCCGCAAGAGGGTACCATAGCAAACGCTATTCATCTGCGGGGAGATATCCTTTTTACAGTTTTGTATAACATATTTAAATGTTATATTGAAGTTTTAATTAACAAGGAAAATAGCAATACATTTTTCGATTATGAATTTGTTTAAATATAGCAGTACAGACCCGCCCAAGCAGATAATGGCCACATCGTTTCTATCATAATGTTAGAAAATATTGGTCAAGACGTTATTTTTTTCCGTTTTATAATGTATTGAATATTCCACGGGTTATATTCCATGTCCCCCGCGAGCTTCCGTAGTTCTGATGTGGCAGGTCCACGTCACCAGGAAGTGAAGCAGAGCCGCAGCTGAAGCACAGACCTGTGCTCTGAAGAATCGCTTCTTTTTACACATGTAAATTATATTTATAGACGGCAGCGGCTGCTTCCAGAGATTAGGTACGTGGGGTTTGGTAAAGCATGCTATAATGTTGTCTCTAACTCTTCGTTGGCTCTCCGTGTCTGTCGTGAACCTGGTTGGACTGAGCCGATGCTATCCTCCATTTCATTTCATTGGCCTTTGCAGAAGCTAACATGTTGCGCGCTCGCCTTAAGAAATGACTGAACGATCAAACTATAAACTCAAGCTGTGTTTCTTGATTTCATGTGAAACCTTCCTTTCCTAAGTGTTGCACATAACCTGCCAGTTGTCATTGTTGTCATTGTTGTCATTGTTGTAGGGTTCGAAATACGCAAGGCTAATGCTACATGGGGTGCTACGTGTCAAATGTCTAGCTATTTACTAAAGGGGTTTTTCTCATTCTTCTCATTCGATTTTCTTCTCAGTGTTGGAGCTGTCAAATGACAATATAATATTCACAAAACAATCTAGATTATTTACTAACATACGACGCTATTGGATTATTTTCCTGATGTTTACATACTCATTGCAGACTATTCGTATACAATCATGGCAAACTACTTGGAAACTTTCTTCAATGCAATTCAGTATTTAGCGATGATTTTATGAGTTGTTTTTCCCTAAATGTCCATTGTTTTGTTATCAGGTCTCTCCACTGTTGTGCACTTGTTATAGAAAAGTTTAGCAGCATCAAGATGACTGCTGCTGAAAACGTTTGCTACACCCTGATCAATGTCATCTCTGATTCAGAGCCCCCCTCTGAGGTCAGCCTCAAAACTGACTTGGGTAATTACTATCTTAATTTAACATCTAATTCTGATTTACACTGATAGGAATTGTATCAAATGTTTGTTGTTTTATGTGTCTAATCTCTTTAAAATATAATCATGACTGTAAAATTAATATACAGAACTGTTTTTAATGGTAGTAATATTCTGTCTGCAGAAAAGGGGGAGATCAAGGCAAAAACTGAAGCCCTAAAAAAGGTCATAATTATGATTCTGAATGGTGAGAAACTGCCTGGGCTTCTTATGACCATCATACGATTTGTCTTGCCGCTTCAAGACCACACAATCAAAAAGTTGCTTCTTGTCTTCTGGGAGATTGTTCCTAAAACAACTCCAGATGGCAAGTTGCTTCAGGAGATGATTCTGGTCTGTGATGCTTACAGAAAGGTATGTACTATAAACTCTTATTGTGTGAGTTATGTGTGAAATATAAACACATTTGGAAATTGTATTTGAACACTCCAGGACCTGCAGCATCCCAATGAGTTCATCCGGGGCTCCACTCTGCGTTTTCTGTGCAAACTGAAGGAGTCTGAGCTACTTGAGCCTCTGATGCCAGCTATCCGTGCCTGCCTTGAACACAGACACAGCTATGTGCGCCGCAATGCAGTCCTGGCCATTTACACCATCTACAGGTAAACACATTCTTATAGTATTGTTTCTTATTCATCAAATGCTGTCTGTGTGGCTGAATGAATAATTGCAATCGAACCGAAATTGATATTTTATTGCTATTTACTTTCAATTAGCATTATTTCTTTTGCAAACAGCATATCTTGTTGCATATTCTAACAATCTGACTATGCCGTGTTTAGTGCTCTAAAACAAGAAAAAAAAGCGGGATCTAAAAACTGCAATAAACTAGACTGATAAAAGGTGTTGTGAGTTGTCTTGCTTACAATCCCACTGTGATCTAAACAAAGTTAGACAATGTTGGACATTTACTGTAATTTCAACAGGGTTCGGTTTAAATTTAACCTGGCCGTAGCCATCCGTACACTCCACTCAATCATCATTTCACTGCATGTAACGTCTGGGTCTGGTCCCTGTGTTAGCGATTACAACCGGTTGAATTTCGACCGACCAATCAGCGAGCGCGGCAGGAGAGTGTTGTATTTAGTTGTGGGTGACGTCAAGAGTTTGCGTTGGAACGGGAAGGTCGTAGTTTGGCAATGGCAACAAATGCAATAGTAATCCAGTCTGGTTCTATCAAGAAATTGAAGCCGGAGCAATAGGAATGTTTAACAAATGTAATCGCTAGAAAAAATTGTGGCGCTACTCCCCACGGGCTCCGTTAGCAGCAAAGGAGATGGTTAGGCTAAATGCTAAATGCTAACGACTCACTCAGGCGCATTTCATACGTCACGGTAAACTCAGATCCAATCGTTTCAATCTGCAAAAGGAATTAACCCCTCCTATCTGTAAACGGAGCTCAATGGAGCACCTCCAGACCTTAGTACGAAATGTAATTTGTACTATGATGTGGTACGACCAGGCTAGGTTAAAAAAAAATTAAATACAAATTCAAAACATTTTTCAGGTTTAAGTTATCCCTTCAAGAATGTATTTTTCTAGTGCATTGTAAACATCCCCGGTTCATAACAGAAATTGTTGTCTGAAAATTCGTAAATTGACGTTTATTTGAAATCGTTCCGACCTGAAATGCTGCCTATATCCATCCAAGTTCTTCTATGTTACTCACTCCATTCTCTCCTAGGAACTTTGAGCACCTTATCCCAGATGCCCCTGAACTCATCCACGATTTTCTTGTGAATGAAAAAGATGCAAGCTGTAAACGGAATGCTTTTATGATGCTGATTCACGCTGACCAGGTTTGTCATATACTTTGTACAAGTCTGCTCCAGATATTTCTGTTTTGTTTCTTTATGCGCTGACGTCACTCTTCCTCACACAGGACCGAGCCTTGGATTACCTCAGCACGTGTATTGATCAAGTCCACACGTTTGGGGACATTCTTCAGCTTGTTATCGTGGAACTGATTTACAAAGTAGGTATAGGGCTTGCACGAGATTTTAAATAGTTTTCTTTTACATTATGCAATTCTTTTGATCCTCTTTATTTACAAAACCTTCATACAAGTCCATGTAAAAGGGAACTCCCAGGAAGCTGCATTAGCTTATTTGTGTAGACCTAAAACAAATAGACCATTTCTATAATCTAATGCTTGACACATTTCTAGGTCTGCCATGCCAACCCCTCCGAGCGAGCCAGATTTATCCGGTGTATTTACAATTTGCTCCAATCTTCGAGTCCAGCTGTCAAATATGAGGCTGCTGGCACTCTCGTCACCCTCTCAAGTGCTCCCACTGCCATTAAGGTAGAACAATAAATATTTTCTTCTTTGCTTGGTTGCAATTTCTAAAAAAATTCTTTTGATGTGCATTCTAGGCGGCTGCTCAATGCTACATCGATTTGATCATCAAGGAAAGTGACAACAACGTGAAACTGATTGTCCTTGATCGTCTCATTGAACTTAAGGAACATCCCACTCATGAACGAGTGCTTCAGGTACTTGAAGTCTATTTGTTATTGGTGCCGGGTTGCGGTGAGAACGGTTCTAATTTTGGGTGTAAATCCTTGGCTCTAGGACCTTGTCATGGATATATTGCGTGTTCTCACCACCCCTGACCTGGAAGTGAGAAAGAAGACCTTGCAGCTGGCTCTGGACCTTGTCTCGTCACGCAACGTTGAAGAGGTGTGTGTGTAGTTATTGCAGTGTATATCTATCAAATCTACAATCTGGAATAGTCTTCATGAAAAAGTAAGACAGGCTTCTGCTCTGACAATGACTAAATCCAGGTTAAAAACAGCTCTGTTCAGCTGTGCAAAGTCATGTCTGATACTCATACTTATTTGTCTTTCAGCTGGTGATAGTTTTGAAGAAGGAGGTGATCAAGACCAATAATGTCACCGAACACGAGGATACGGATAAGTACAGGCAACTGCTGGTGCGCACGCTTCACTCCTGCAGCGTGCGCTTCCCTGACATGGCAGCCAACGTCATCCCAGTGGTGAGTGAAATTACACAAACCAAACTGACCCATGCGTTTCAAACCAACATGGCAAGGCAGATTTTTGAATAAGAAAATGTGTGTTAATGTGTGTTTTGTGGTCTACAGCTGATGGAGTTCCTAAGCGACACCAATGAAGCGGCTGCTGCTGATGTGCTGGAGTTTGTGCGAGAGGCCATTCAGAGATTCGACAGCCTCAGGCCCCTGATCATCGAGAAGATGTTGGAGGTTTTCCATGCCATCAAAACTGTGAAGTAAGCCACCCATGCGTTATGATGATTGTAATATAATTCCGGCCATCCAGTAGCTTTGACGTTATTATTATTATTGTGTCGATAGAATTAAGAATTATTTTTTTAGTTCAATATTTAATCAGTATTATTTAATGATCATGTTATTGCTTGTGTCCCAAAGAATTTACAGAGGGGCCCTTTGGATACTTGGAGAGTACTGCAGCACAAAAGAAGATATCCAGAGCGTGATGACCGAAGTCCGCAGGTCTTTGGGAGAGGTCAGTTTTGGCGGTTGCCATTTAACTTTAATGAGCCTGTTCTAGATTTTTGACTACAGTTTTCTTCCAACTAAAGGGATTATAGCCTTTTATAGTCAGAGAAAATGGAAAACCAACACTAATCTTTCTGTTATTAAACTCCTGTGATGGTGTTCGCTCTGGGCACTTTAAGTTGTGAGAAGTCAAGAAACCCAATCTAGGATTGGACTCATTAGGATGTCAGGAATAGGCTTGAAAACCAAGTCAAAACCAGCTCAAAATCTCTAATGAGAAGAAAGGGTATAAGAAAAACATTTCAAATAAGACTGCACATCCCATTAACCTGAATTAGCGTGTTAGAGTCAAAAAAGTTGCACAATATGTAAAATAAAGACAAATCTACACGGCTATGTCGCTCCCAAGTGTCTATTATTTACATACAACGGGCTAAGCCGGGGTGTGCGGCCTTATTTGAAACCTACAGGAAAGGGTATAACAACCTATATGTTATGAAAGCAAGAGGAAGCGCATTTCACAAAGTCTATCTTATGTTAATTTTTTTGTCATGCTACCGCTAAGTACGAGTAGCATGTGAACATTAAGATCTGAACAATACACGAGACCTTTTCGACTTGATCGGGTGATTCCATTCTCAAGAGGGCTTATGCCTATGTTTTTAATAAAGTATTGAATAATGGTGATGACTATCTAACTGTGATGTGTCTTACAGATCCCCATCGTGGAGAATGAAATTAAGAAGGAAACGGGAGAGGTGAAGCCCGAGGATGAAGTGAGTGCAGCACCGGCTCAGAAACTGGTGACAGAAATGGGCACATATGTGACTCAGAGCGCCCTCAGCTCCTCCAGACCCTCCAAGAAAGAGGAGGACAGGTAAAGCTGGGCCTAGTTGTTTTGTTTGAATGAACGATCAAAAATGATTGAGAAAACGGCTTGTATTTTGTAGGCCACCTCTTCGCGGTTTCCTTATGGATGGAGACTTCTATGTGGCTGCTTCGTTGGCCACAACACTGACCAAACTTGCTTTACGTTACGTTGAAATAGTTCAAGAAAAAAGACGGCAAAATGTAAGTCAATGTCTTTAAACATATTTACTTTGGACATCGTTTCGGCTCACCATGCGCTTCTTTCTCCAGTCGTTTGTCGCAGAGTCCATGCTGATCATGGTCACTGTCCTGCACCTTGGCAAGTCCTCTCTTCCTAAAAAACCAATTACAGATGATGACGTGGACCGCATCTCGCTATGTCTGAAGGTGTTATCCGAGTGCTCTCCTCTCATGAATGACATTTTCAATAAGGAGTGTCGTAAATCGCTGTCCCACATGCTGACTGTCAGACTGGAGGAAGAGAAACTATCACAAAAGGTAAACACGGCGCTAACACGTTATGACAGTAGGAATTTTGATTTATTTTTTATACATACAATACAAAACACTATCCTATTTTTTTCATTACTGTCCCGCAGAAAGAATCCGAAAAACGTAGTGTGACGGTGCAAGCAGACGACCCAATCTCATTCATGCAGCTCACAGCCAAAAATGAAATGTCTTCTAAAGAGGACCAGTTTCAGCTCAGTCTTTTGGCCGCAATGGGAAACACTCAGAGAAAGGAAGCAGCAGATCCACTCGCCTCGAAACTCAACAAGGTTTGTGCGTGTATGTCTTAAAACATGAAGATACAAAATAACCAAGAACTGTTTGATCATAGTGTTCCTACTTTTCAGGTGACTCAGTTAACAGGCTTCTCAGACCCAGTATATGCTGAAGCCTATGTCCACGTTAACCAGTATGACATCGTCCTGGATGTTCTGGTTGTTAATCAAACCAGTGACACTCTTCAAAGCTGCACTCTTGAGCTGGCAACATTAGGTATTCATCCTCATTCACACTTCTAATGACATTATTTTTCTTATGAGCACTCTGATTGTTACTTCTCTCTTTCCAGGTGATCTCAAATTGGTTGAAAAACCTTCTCCTCTGACTCTGGCGCCACATGATTTTGCAAATATTAAGGCTAATGTAAAGGTGGCATCAACGGAGAATGGCATCATATTTGGAAATATTGGTGAGTTATCACTACATTTGAATGAGTAGAGTATTTTAATAGTTACTTGTAACAATCAAATGCCATCTGTCATTTTGTTTTTCACCACAGTTTATGACGTGTCGAGTGCTGCCAGTGACAGAAACTGTGTGGTCCTCAGTGATATTCACATTGACATTATGGATTACATCCAACCAGCATCATGCACTGATGCAGAGTTCAGACAAATGTGGGCAGAGTTTGAATGGGAAAACAAGGTGATATTTCTATACCATACACAGAATTATCCTTTAGTTTCTTTAAAAATACAATATGATTTTATATTCATCGTGTCTGTTGATAAAGGTGACGGTGAACACCAACATTACAGATCTGAATGATTACCTTCAACATATCCTCAAGTCCACAAACATGAAATGTCTAACTCCGGAAAAGGTAGGTAGTTTTCACTTTGTGCCTTGATGCTGTTGTATTGTGTAATGCCATGTGAGCACTAGATTGACATCCTGTCTTTCACCAGGCGCTCTCTGGTTTCTGCGGCTTCATGGCTGCTAATCTTTACGCACGCTCCATTTTCGGTGAGGATGCTCTGGCTAATGTAAGCATCGAAAAGCCCATTCACATTGGCCCAGACGCTCCTGTCAACGGCCACATCCGCATCCGAGCTAAGAGCCAGGTAGGTCAACAAACACTGCTCTCAAATGATCCGTATCAAAAGCATGGCTAATCCATTGAATTGTGATTGTATTGTTGAGAACAAATTTTAAAGATATATGTAAAACTGTTGTTACAGGGAATGGCCTTGAGTCTTGGTGACAAGATTAATCTCTCCCAGAAGAAGGCGAATCTCTAAAGAAATTAGCTTTGTAAAGTCATCAGTTGTGTTGTCTCTCAATCTTTATTCACAGACATAGAACATTTGATCATTTTCTTTTTTTATATATATATATAATTATACTTTTGTCTAATACCTACAGTCTGTAATTCACTTGTCTGTTTCTTTTTAATTTTCAATAAACATGTATGAAGGCTCACTGATTTTGTGTAATTAAATGTCTAAAAATAACAATGGACAATAAAACACAAAACACTTTACATCTCATCTGAAAACTTTATTACCACATATACAACAGATTTCTTACATAAAGAAGTAGGCCTATATTTTTTTTTTCTATTTCATTGAGGTCGGAAAATAGAGAAATAGACACTTACATTACATTACATTTTCTCAACCGCTGAGCCTCATGCAAAAGCAGCAGCTGAATTCTATTATATTATACTGTAATATACTATACTGTAGAGATCTTTTTAGCACCTTTTTTGTTTTCATTTTATTTCATTAATTTATCTTCACTAAGACTCCAGACTTCAAAAAGGTCACACAGATTCTGTACAATACAGTTTATTCATGAATAATACACTTCTCAGACTATTTTAATATTCTGCAATAATCTGCAACAACAGCACGGAGATAAGTGTTTTGTGGACACTAGATGGCGCCTGAAATGGCCGAGAGCCTTTGAAATGCCGGGTTTCCATCTCACGGCAAGACACTGTTTAAGGCATAAAGACAGAGATTAGAACAGATTAGGAAATGAAGTTGAAAACATGTGAAATATCGCAGATTCATTCTGTTTAATTATCTCTGGGTAGTGTGTGTGAAGAAATATACTCCCCTGAGCGATGAATTGCCATCGAATCGCAATCGTAAATAATACATTTAACAAATCGTTAAGACTTTCAAGTATTTAAGGTCCTTGCAAAATGAAAAAGAAAATAAGTGAAATAAAAGCTTACATTGAGGATACAAAAATAAAATCACATTTTGACTCAAATGAACATTTGCCAGATACATGATTCACATCCTTAGGCACTTTTGCAGTTTTTTCTTAGTGAAAAATTGATACGATAATACAAATATATTTATTCAAATACAGACAAAAGTGGCTTAAACTTATTTTACTTTTTTTTGCAATTCAGGGTTTTCTTATTACAGAACTTTAAAAATAACGTGTATTGAGTTATTATTATCGTCATTATTTTTTAACACTTATATGTTACGCTTAACATACGCTTACTGTTTAAATCACTGCGCAGCAAAGTTGACCTGAAATATCCCCACATTTGTGCAACCATTTAGAACTATTGTCATCAAGTGTTTAGCAACCGGAAAATCAACTTTTTTTTTTTTTTTCACCACCTTCTCAACCCAGTACTGTGCCTCCGCGCAGGAATGTGACTGGTGTGTGATATTCGTCTGACAGAGCCACGGCATGGACCTAGACCTGGACTGGACTGTCTCTGTGCGTGTGCGTGTGCGTGAGTGGGGGTTGGGGGGGGTAGGGGTTAGAGATTGGGGACGGGGGTGGTGGTGTAGTCAGCCTGTAGAGCGGCCCCTAGCGCCAGACACCGGTATCGCCCTGGCTCTCGCTCTCGTCTCTCTATCGACTCCACATCTTCGCACATCGCACTGTGGTTTTGGCTCGGGCGCTTCATGGACCTTCTCTTGCGGCTCACGTAAACGGACCAAAACGCGCATCACTTTGCCCCCTTGCCCCACCATATCTTTCTCCCTCTCTCTGTCTTTGCGTCTATATCCACTGCGGAGCCTCTGTCAGTTTTTTAGCTGGAGAAAAGTGGGTGTTCACTGGCTGGTCACTGGTTGTTTCAGCGGCGATAAGTGTCCTCGATGGCTGGCTGGAAGGACGGATCAGTGCAGGAGAAGTATCGCCTGGTGGTGGTCGGGGGCGGTGGTGTCGGCAAGTCGGCCCTCACTATCCAGTTTATCCAGGTCAGTAGCCTTCTCTCAGCCTTGCTCTGAATTATGCCCCTCGCTTAGATTTTCTCTCCGAGGGCAAGACGCGGGGAAGGGCCAAAAGCTTCACCCAGCGCACTCACTTTGTCCGAGCGTGCGCCGCGGAGCTCCGCTTGGACTTTGGCGAGGCCTCTGGAACTATGGACACGGCGTGATTCTGGGCTTAGGTTTTGAGAACATGAGGTGTTTTTTTTCTAAAGGACAGATAAGATGTTGCTGTCACTTTAACTTGGCGGTTTAAAAAAATAAAAAAATATAAGCCAAGTTCCACTTTCTACCCCCCGCTGGCGAAAAAGAAACTGAGTGCCCTGGAGTTATTGTGTTTTATGGACTCGCTCTTCTCAGTCAAACAGCAGCAATTAGGTATAAAAAGATTGACTTCCCCACTGCCGAGGCATGCAAACACCAGCACAACTCAAAGGCCTGTAACTGCATTAGGTTAAGGCAGTCTATTCAGTGTTGTGGAGGGTTATAGAGGAAGTAATCTCAGAACAATTTAACTGTTGAGAGGAAAGTGGTTTGGCACTGATGGACAACTTGTCCTTTACAAAGTAGGGATAACGTGCTTATGAATGCAACGAGGGGCCAACGACTGTAGGCCTAAACTACGCCTAAAACAATCACGGGGTAACAACATAGACCAGGGGTCTCTAACCTTTTTCAATCGGAGAGCTACTTTTACACAACAGAAAAGGCAGAGAGCTACTTCTTTTTTTGCAGTCGTAATACACAATTGATGTAAGAATTATGACAAGAGCGAACACACATGGAGAATACATGTAAATATACTATAATACTATATAACCGTATATTTTTTTACTTATAGATATAGATACTAATAGATGGATTCAACAACTCCAAATGTATTCATTCAGGATCATGTGGTCTATTCTAAATCCTTTGAGGAGCTACCTGAAAGGGGCTGGTGAGCTACTGGTGGCTCCCAAGCTATAGGTTGGAGACCCCTGACATAGACTATAACACATACGCATTTGCATTTCCCTTGTTTTACAGCTGCCAGTGATACGAGTGTCACTCAGTCACGCATGTAAACAGTTTACCTTCCACTATTACAGCTTGCATTCCAGTCACAGACCGTAGAAAGTCTGTAGCCTTTAAGTGCAGGAGTCCAGCAGCTCACAGCAGACTGGGCCAGGGGGTCTGTGTCCCAAACTGTCCCGCAGGGCCAAATACGCCCATAGATATGTTTTGTACTATTGAATGGGTCCAGAATATAGTCTGTAATAATCTCCATACTTCTGCCTATGTTTTCAGCCTATTAAAATTCAAGCTAAATTATTAATATAGCTAAAATGTCAAATTGACCCATTTGATTGACTCAGTGTTGACATGTTGCTCTTTGCTTCTGATGTAAATGCTTGAAGGCTCTTGTGCATTGTTTTGATCTTCCATAGTACTCTAGTCACTTTGCAAAATAGTGTGCCCACACACGTGCACCAGTTACAGGAAACCCAAACTTTCCTTTCAGCTTTTGTGCCTGTTGTGATCGTGATGCCTGCTCAGAAACTTCCAAGCAGCCTGACGGCAGGCAGCTGCATGTCTCCAAAAAGACAATAGTGGGCAGGCACACGTTCTGAAAGTGGGGGGTAAAAGTTTGATGAAACTGTGTGTGTGTTCAAAGGGGGCTGTGTCTAATGAGGGTTCAAAAAGCTCATTAACTGCATACCAAGTAAAATGGATCAGATAGCAGCGGGACAGAGTATACATGAGCTCACCACCATGGACCAAAGTGACAGAAGCAGTAACAGCTTTGATCTCGGGTCAAACTTATATTCTTTTATTTTCATTTGCTGTGACACAGCATAGTCACAGCAAAGTAGCACTGTTTGAGTTGTGTTTGATAAATAATTACTTATTTAGTTTTATAGTGGAATCTTTTTGAAAAGCCATTGTGAATTATGTTAGCTTAGTGTCTGAACATACTCTGCATTTGAACATATTGCACGTCATTGTGTGCGTCTGTGTAAATAAAAGAGCTTGGAGACATTTACTGCATGACAGGAATAAGAGGTCTCTGGAAGTCACCTGCCAGAGGAAAAGACCTCACATCCGTATGTGAAGAGGAGGTGTAGCCCTGTGTGGGGGGTGGGTCAGCTTGGGTGGGGAATGGTCAGCTTGGGTGGGGAATGGTCATGTTCCATGTGGAATTTGGCCCTTGAGCCAAAGGAAGTCCCTTCTCTGCTACCAACATGTATGCTATGTTGTATATAGGGCTGTCAAAAGTATTGAGTATTGAGTACCAGAACAAGTATCACTATCAAAGCTGGATGCTTATTATGATACTAGAAATAATCACATAAGCTGGGAAAAAATGGAAATTTATAGAACATTTCTTAATAAATTATGAAATATATAAATATATATAAAACCTAATCTATTTTTTTTGTTAAAAATAATGTCCTTAGACTTTCATCACAATTTGCCTGATGAAGGTCTCAGGACCGAAACATAACATTTTCCAATAAAAATTAGTTTTGCAAGGACAGCAGTGTGTGGGAACCATTATTTTTTATATGCACACCGAGACTCTTTCTTCTTCTCCTATGCACCTGCACCAGCAATTGATGTGCGAAGTTCTACTTCTCAATCTTTTTAAAAATAATGTGACATGTTTATTGTCCAAAAAAGCATGTATAAATTATTGTTGTGATATCCAAATTGGTATCTAGAGTTGAGTACTTTTTTGAGTCTCAAAATCAAATTTGAAATGTAGTATTGTGTCAACACTAATATGCAGCTAAGGGATGTTTAGGACTCCCGCTTTTTAATGATTTTGTATTGGAATTTTACTTTAATACAATTTTATTTAACTGGTTTATTGTTGCGCTTATGTACAGTTGTTGTTCTGTGTGGAGCAGGGCCTGTTGCACTCATTGACCCTCCCTGGATGAATTATAATAAATATAAACATATATAGTTCCTTGGCTTTTGCAACAATATTTGCAGAGAATTGTACATAAGTACAGCAACAGTTGGTGGCACACCACATCTGATTCAAAAACCTCTGGTATTTAATCATGTATGTATTGGGGTGTCACGATTCTCCAAATCCTCGATACGATTTGTCATTTGATAGAAGGTGCACGCGACATAAAGTCTGTATAAACAAGCGGGTCTTACCGGCTGCCTCCTCAGTCTTTGATTTGCAGGTACAACTACTCACTAGAGCACGTAAACTCACTTTAATGCACTCTTGTTTTCTGGGAAAACCCAGAAGTGCCGGTTCCCCAGTTGAAATAAGCCGATATAACCACGACTGTTCCGGGCACGCGCACACACACAATAAGCGCTACAGTGATTGTTGATCCTCTATTTGTAATTTCGATACATTTTGATTAAAAACAATCAAAATTGTGACACCAATAAAATATGTATTCGTCAATTTTCAATCCGATAGAATTAGTTTCAGTTATCCTGAACACTTTTTCTGCTTGGTTTTTTGGTTTTGCAGAGAACAAGAATGAGAATGTACCCTGTTCCCTCGATTGCATTTTGGCACAGCCACACTGACTGAAAGTGGCCTTAACATTGGCATCTGTATCGTTTAAGTTCATGCTTTTAATTCAAAGTAGAGTTTTGACCAAAAAAGCTCTTGTGCCTCTTTGTTTCTATCAATTTTGGCCGAGGTTGAACATGTAGCCAGTTTGTCGTTTCCAAATAAGATAACACAATATTATTATTTAATCAAGGGAATTATCAATAGAAAGAGAAAACATGAGACAAATAACTCCAGGCTAGTGGCAAGCAAGCTGGCTATCGGCAAGCAGACGAGATGTTGGCCGTATGGCAGTTTTTTAAAGTAAACAAGAGTGACAAGAGTGACAAGAGTAGTGACAAAGTGGACTGTATGTTGTGTGTTAAGGTAAAACTGTCACGAGGTGACTTCAAAACAAACGTATAACACCAGCAACTTGATAAAACTCACCACCACAGAGTAACCTTTGCTAGCACCCAAGCTACATCTAGGTACCATGAGTGGAATATGACAATGGCTCATATTGTTGACAGTTATAACAACTGCTAAAATGTTCAATCGTTAAAGCATTTCTTATTGTTGAAATGAGAAATAAAACCTTTTAAATTTCAGTTGTATTAGTTTATGAATTCCAAAGGATAACAATGCAGTACTCATATTGGCATTTGGTATCGGCAAGCCCAAGTGTTCTTCTTTGAGATTATGCTGCAAATGAATCGCCCTTTGGGATCAATGAAGTTTTCTGAATCTGAATCTGAAGCACAATTAAGGTACTCGTACTCGTATCTGTGCATCCCACCTTATACCACAATATTCTAATGACCCTCCTCTTTGTAATAACTCACTTGTAATAAAACTTTTGTAGCATAATTCCATGACATAACAGTCTCCCAGTCAATTTGCAGCTCATCAAGAAATTATGTAAAAAAAATAAAAAGTATTATACAGGAGTATTATACATGTAAATGTATACAGCTCCTGTGGCTTAACTCTTTCTGATGTCGCTCGGTAAGATAAGCTCACATTCTTTGGCTTCTTTACTACTATTACATACTGCTACTTCTACTACTATGAAGGGTGCCGTTTTGATGATATGAAACATGGCGCCCTCGCGTCCCGCTAGTTGTCCAGAGTCAGTGCTGATCCGTCAGAATGCTCTCGTGTGACTCGGGTCCTGCGGAAGTAGAACCACCACGCACCTACAATACATGACCAGGTAAAAACAACACTTCTGCTAATGTTTAGGACATCATAGGTACGCACGTGCGCCAATGAGCACAGGCCATTGATGTGAGTGAGCAGACAGGACCCAGGGCTTGGGTTAGCATCGCTAATATTTTTCTCCTTTGCCCGCCAATATTTGCTCGTAGCGACATTGTTATTTGGGTATTCCGTAACTGTCCCAATGCTGCTAACCATATTTACCACTGACATTAAAGTAATTAAGGATGTGAAAACCTGGTTTACCATAATCTGGAAC